TTTTGACGTTTTTTTGGAAAACCATATCTTTTATGAAAAAGTTTCCTCAATAAAGATGATGATTATTATTTTTTAACAAAAGGTACATTCGCGTTCTTTCAACCTTTCTCCCGATTATTGCTATTTCACATCGTATTCGTGCAGTGACGGCAAAGAAATGCACATGGAAAAAGTATGATGCACGTGCTAAGTTATTGTTTTGCTACTTAGACATCCTAACGCAGGCGGCGATCAAGGCTTGTGTGGCATTGGAGGCCGACTTCAACAATCATGACATAGACATTTGCATCGTATCAGAAACTCTTGTAAAGCCTGATATGCCCGACAGTATAGTGAATATTCAGAGGAAATAGTACCGTTAACATAGTTAAGCGTGTCTGCAGTGATTGCCCAATCCCGAATTGTGGAGCAAAATATCTCGTAAAACTGTCCAATCATCTCACAGATGTACATCAATTAGATTATAGCCAGCGACGAAAGCGGCTACAAGAAGCGAAATTACAACCTAAGGTAAGAGAGGTAATCTATCGAACAAAAAAAGAACCCGAGAAGTGAAACATCTCCATCAAAGCCACAAGAGGGAAATGATGCAATGGTTTATCAGTCAGCAACACAGAGGAAAGGAAAGACATCAGTGGAAACACTACGAAAAAGCATTAGAAAAGCACGCAAGCGCAGCAAACGTTGCAACAGAACAGCAGAGTCATTTCAGGACTTTGTAATGAAATGGTCGATGATATATCGAACACAAAAGAGAACTCTTAGTAACCCAGCCTTTGCTAATACTCGTTAAAAGAGGCACGCTAGTTGCTCCTGGTTAGCTTTTTGTGAGCACTTTTTAAACCAAAGATGACGAGAGTGGGCTATGACTTATTCCTGAGGCAAGGTGCTAGAAATTATGAAGACAGCGAAGAAAGCGACCGCTCGCAACAAAGTGAAGATTCTCAAAATAGCCAAGAAACTAATTCCTGTCAAGAGCGGAGGGCTCTCATAAATCTTTGGTCACGTATTCTAGACGAGGCGGAACAACGTCAGGAGGCCCAGCTAAACGCATTGAGTACGAAGGGAACCGTACTGTACTGTACTGTACTTATCCCGTAGTCAATGGCCCTTCGGTCGCCACGGGCGTTGCTTTTTAGTTTTTAGTTTTACAAGCTTTTCTGGACACAAGCCTGCCCAGAGGGAATAGGCACAAACGGGACTCAAAGGTCCCATGCAAGGTGCCATCCCTACCCAATCCCACAACCCGTTAAGGTTGCAACCCTCTCCCTCCATTTTATTTTCAGCTTCTCTTACGGCGTCGCAAAACTTCAACCCTGTCCATTCAGCGATGTTGTTCTCCCAACGCTTCTTTTGTCGGCCCCTTCTTCTCCCTCCTTGCACTGTTCCTTGTAAAATCGCGTTGGCAAGCCCTGATGATCTTGATACATGCCCAAACCACTTAAACTTGCTTTTCCTTACTGTGGTTAAGATATCATCATAGGGCCCAATGGCTCGCTGATTCTGTCTCTGACTGCACCGTTAGTGATGTGATCTCTGTATGAGATGCCAAGCAGTTTCCTAAAGCATCTCATCTCAGTAGCCTACAATTTCTTGAGGATGTCCGCTGTCAATGTCCAGGTTTCGCAGGCGTACAATAGTAGAGAGATAACTAGGGAGCGAAGGGAACGGACATTCAGAATATGTGGCCTGCGTGAAAGCCGAGAACGCTCTTGTTCCTGTTTACAGAAAAGAGCTAAGAAAAGTACTGTTAAGGTATCTGCAGTGGATGCGAGTAATATAGAAAGATCCCACGTTCCGTATTTAAAGTGATCGAAACCCAAAGATGCAGAAGGATTTGATTGTCTAAAATCGACAGAACTTGCTATCGATAAGCCCAAGTTCTTGCTCAATCGACACTTTGTGACACAGTCCATTCCTAACGAAGAAAACTAGACCCTACTCTTAAATATTATACTGAGCCTGGATATAGTGTACTCAACTTACAGAAGAGAAAATATTCTCAGGGCAGTCAAATCGAGAATTATTTGTTTGAGCGCCTCGAGACAAACAATTGCAGCATCAAAAAGCAAAAAGGCTGAACGTAAGTACGTAACTTTCCGATTTGGCAGATGCCAATCAACTCTGCACATCGTGTGAATTTATTTTTTACAAGTTGTACCTTGACTCAGCCACTTGGGAATTATTTTGTGAGTGCACGAATTATGAATTCAAATTTTAAAACTGCAGAATATACTGCCGACTGAAAAGAAAAAACAGACTTGATAAAACGTGACCAATCAAAGTTACTTCTCGAAAAGATGCAAAAAAATCGTCTAATCTTAAAGCATCCTAAAAATCAAACTCCCGCAAAAAAGTGTCCCTAGTGAAACGCATAAATGAAGGCTACTTTCTGTTTCATTTGTTTTTGTTTTTATTTTTCTCCCAACAAAATAGTTTCCAAAACATATCGATTTTTTAGAACGTCTGTATCGAGCAACCTAAAACTCGTCATTAAAAACACGACAGGCAGAATTCGGAATCGAAAATATAAGATATTTGGATTATTTGGACACCTCTCGTCTATCTGGGACGCAGCAACCAAACATAAAGATGTTTAATTATTACAAATCAGAAAAAAAATTCAAACTGCTTCTTAAAAAGCCTTTATCAAGATTATAACAATGTCTACACCAGAACACCACTTTTTATTCGTTACATACTTTCATACACCGTTTACAGGTAGCCGGGGATCCATATTCATTTTTTCTCAGAGTCGTCAGCCGGGCAAGTAAGCCTCATGGCATACTTGCCCGGTTACAATTTGGGTTGCCCGGACAAAAGTGCAGAATTAGATAAAAGAATGGTGAAAAAAATGTGTGCAACTTGAACATTTCTGATTAGCATTTCATTTCCATTATAGTTACTAAGGAAGGATTTTAACTAAACTGTAAAGTACAACAGGCTAAAAGCCTTGGCTAAACACAGTTTATTTACGTTTTACAAGTGGCCACGGTCGGTCAGTTTGCCATGAAGGCAAGACGGTGCGCTTACGTTGTTCTCCCGTATAAGGCAGCGGTTCCTGCGTCAGCCTTTTTTTCCGTCGAAGGCAGCGGAACGTCTTCTAAAAAACGTCACATCTTGATGCGTATATAGGCACCGGCTTCTGCTTTACCTTTTTTTCCCGTCGATGGCGACGAAACGCCTTGTAAAAAACGCCACATCTTGATGAGTGCTGTCACGTTTTCTACGAATGGCCTCTGACTGCAGTACTTCACAAAAAACTGAGCCTGCAATCGTTTCGTAGAAAATACTGCACCATCAAAGATGGCGCCCAAACTTACGATTTCATTGCAGACAAAAGCGGCTTGTTATTCTTCATTATTCTAAACGTTTTAAGTGGATGAGAAGCAATCAGAACACAGGGAAAATGTAAAAAATCATATAAGAATTTCTGAAAAGATTTTGTGGTTGAGCAAAACCTCACTCGTCCGAAGGGCGACTTTTGAAGTTATCTTAGATTAGATTGTAACCGTCTGGGACGACCGGACGACTGGGAATATGGATCCCTGCAGGTAGCAGTTACGACGCCTGAAGGAGGGTCATGAGGTTATCGATATATAACGATCTCTCCTTACAGATAACCCACCCAGCCCAGGAAAGGTTGGCCACACCACCGGGGTCTACGTCTCCTACTCTTTTAAAAGACTGGTATGAGTTCTTTTACGTCCCACAAGAACCAGGTAAGTGAAAGTGCTGTGAGATGGGACGTAAGGTTTTTCGTCCTTATCCGAGAAGACTAGAAAGTCCAGCAGTTTGCAGATGTCATTACAAAGGCAGCACTTTCTTCTCAGTCATTGAAAGACCCTGAGTGTTGGTCCGGCCGGGGTTTGAACCCGCGACCTCCCGCCCAGCAGACCCGCGCTCTGCCAACTTAGCTAACCAGCCGGCGGTTTCGTTGATAGAACCTTTGCGAAAAATTGTGAAAATGAAACGAACGCCAGACAAATGCCCCTGTTGACAGTGCGGCATATTGCTTGAAAAAGAATCTCTGTGGAGAAACCCTCATTAAACAAGACCGATTCAAACAAAACCAGAGGAAAAACAAGGTTTTTTTCAAAACTAAGGGGAAGTTCAAAAGTCACTACATTCGTAAGGGTCTTTTGACGCAGTTTTCTTTGAAGGACAATAATGGATTAGATGGGAAAAACAGGAGAAAGCGCCTTTCTGTTGACTTATGTCGTTGTAGTCTTCCTTTTGGGAAGTTGAGACGTGGAAATCGTTTTTTTTAAGTAAGACTTCAATGAGACAACCAATTGCAAAAATACTTGAAACAGTGTGTCTCATTTTGGGGTTGAATGCCTTACCCATGGTCTTGTGCTTGTAATCCTCCTCCTCCCCTGATCAAAGTTGCCGGCAATACAAGGCCATGCTCAAACTTGGTTGAACAACTTTAAATGGAGGGGAGGGGGGAGGTGAGTATTATATCCCACAGACGTGTGACTGGCAGCGATTTGAATTAAGAAAGGCCGGTTTTTCGTCGGACTGTCTCAACATTTTCTCAACTAGTTTTAGCTTGTTAGTTGATTAGGTTGCGTTGCCTATTTTGCCGTGCTGTCTCTTTTACCCTTTGGGCTCGTGCTCCCTACTCTTCCGAGTCTCAGGCGACTCTTTAGCAACATTGACCAATGACGTAGTAAAGTTGTAAAGCTGAACGAGACTCAGCTGTAAGTTGACGCTTGACGAAGCTATTGGCCTAGAGCTTGGGCGTCAAGTGCCAACCACATCCTTTCTTTCCTTGGCTTATTTGGCACCGGAGGTCATTTCCCTTACCCCACCCTTTACCTGAGAGGGAACCTTAGTCTTTCAAGACTAATCACTGACGGCTTGCGAGCCAATCTCACTTGACTAAGCTCCAGACTAAGCTGCAGACCATCTACTTTGTAGAATTACAATTAAAATTCAACTTACAGGTAAGTTTGTTTCACTTTACAATTATAATCAATAATGTTTCAAATCATTTAAATCAGCACTGACCTTCTGCTCTTTCCTTTGTTTTCCTGCTCTCCAGGAAGCTTGACTTTGATAATTCTAAATTTGAACCTGGAGTTTTGTAAGCTAACGGCGAGAAGACCCTTTCCAGAGTGACTTGCCAAACTATTCAGTCGATTGTCCATGTCAATGTCAATTAAACTTAATAGGTGTCCTGAGCTGACATTAAACAGTTGAAGACAGAAACCAGTTGATTCCCCATTAGTGTACAAAACACATTCCTCATCACTTACGAATTTACAGGCGTAAACTCGCTTTGCTGTGCATAGTGTATCATGCGTCTTGCCTGACACTGCATCGAGAATGTAGACGGCTTGATTTTCAGCGTCAAATGCACTGGAAGTTACAATGAACTTTTCGTTAGGAGAAAACGTTCCGGCCAGAACGTAAGGGAGTGCTTTTAAATTCGGCGGAGGAAATGCTTCTTCCGAATCCCAGAAGAAAGTGTCAACAGAGCGCATAACATACTTGTCACTTCTAATGACCTGACCTCTACTATTACATCTGACAAATTCCCCGTATGCATCGCAACGTTGAATTGTTGTTACCTGGTCTTCACGTGAAGTATCAAGTATTATTACTTCAGTTCGTTTCCACCCATAACACTCTACGTGTTTGTCTGAAATTGCTGTCAATGTCGAGATTCCCTCCATACCAGTCCAACGCCGTATGCACTTGTAAAGCTCAAAATCCCACAGCTCAATACTGCCGTTATTTGTAATCAGAACACCTTCTTTAACAGATGCAAGACAGCAGTAACTGGAAATGTTTCTCTGGGCCTTGAACTCGCCACTGGGGACACCCCAAGCTGTAATCTGTGCTTGATCTTGAACCTCATTGCTCACGACATAAACTATGTCGCCATTAAAAGAGAACACAAGACTGTCTTTTTTAGTCTTTCCATCACCTCTACCTCGAGTCAGATCATCGACAGCCAACACTCCCACAGAATCACCACAAAGGGTGTTGCCTAAATCGGATTGTTCATTAAGGACAAACGCGAATGAATGATCCGAGGTGCGCAAACAACCAGTTGACCTTTCAATTACACAGCTGTGTGGATCTCCAAACAAAAATCCACCCTCGACATCCGACTTATATTTCCAAGGATTATAGGAAAAATCCTTACAAGAAGCGTCTAGCGAAAACTTCTCGTGCGTCTTGACATTAACGCTCACATAATAAACCTGGTGGTTTAACCTGTCCACTGGAAAGTGCCAACAGAGAAGGGAACGATGGTCAGGGAAGAACTTTACCAGTCCACATGCTTTTGAAGTTGACGTTTCCTCTAGTATTTGAAAGCCATTCATTAAATCAAGCACGCAAATCGAACCCGTTGAATGAGAAACTGCTAAAAGCCTTCCATCTCGAGACCTCGCAAAGGACAAAACATCTTCATCTCTTTTGGTACGAGTTATCTCTTTGCCATTTTCTAGACTCCACAAGATGAGGCATTTCCAATCATTTGGACAGTCTGTAACGATCGTGTCGCCAGATATTGAACAAACAGAGAATCTGCAATGGCTTAGAGGAAAAAGACTGTTGAGATGTCCCTTGAAATTAAAGGCATGGCTAAGGACCCCTGGTAAGATAACATCGATTACAGGATGAAAAACAACAGAGCGAAAACAAGACAAATGCATGGTACAAGAGAAAGGACGGGGTTCATATATTCTAAACGCAGCAAAAAAAATACGTGAGTATTCTTTCTCTTTAATGACGTTACGTGCCCACATCTGGTTGCCAGTATGAAGTGACCACAGCTGAATCGTCCCATCGCGACATTCACAAACCATGTAGTCTGATCGAGGCGAAACATCAAAGCACGCAACTTCAGATCCGCAATAAAATCGACTATCAACAACTCTTTGCAGATCGTCTTTGTCCAAGTATTCCATGTAGGGTACATCAGAATATTTGGTCTCTAAAAGCCGGGATGCTTGAAGAGACAGCTCTTGTCCTCCTTCATTCATCAGTATCTGAAAGATAACGTGGGGGAGTTCTCTCAGCTCCCTGTTATGCCTCCTTAAAAGAAACATAAACGTTCGAAGGGTCTCCAATCCTTTCCATCCGTCTTGCTTCATGACACAAAGGATGTCTTCAATGGCTAAAGTACTGTCCACACAGAGCTTTGCATACACAAGCTCTACATCAAGAACATAATTTTTAGCAATTTCCTCAAGGCTGCACGGTCTCACATTCTCATCCAACGCTATCAGGTGTTGAACAGCATGTTGTAGAGCATAATTTATAGTGGCCGTGAACTGCTCTGAATTATCAACACCCTTTCTCTTAACCTCATTCAGTTCCCCAATGCAAAGATTAGCAAGGGTGCGATGACCTTCATTTTCATCTACACAAAAATTGTGCCGCCCGTAGCGTGACTTGTCAGCCAACCAGTCCTTAATTGACTTATGAAAGAAACGAACACAGTCATCTTGAATAGGTAGAAGTGATGATAAACAAGAAATAGCTTTGTACTCTTTACGTTGAACGGCTGAGGATAAAGTGCCAGGAAACAGTACTTTAGGGATAAAACCAAGTGGCAGTGGTTCTCTTGCAAAAGCAATCGCACTTAAGAGACTCAGAAACTGATCCTCAGCAACGTTTAGTTCCCTAGAGAGTTGTGTCTCCAGACGCTTGAAGTAAGACTGATAAACAGACGAAATACCGGAGGGTACGGTGACGTAGAGGTCTTTCACTGTGACAGTTGAAAACTTCTCCCTTATGAAATCTACCAGAAAATAAGCACATAAAAAGACACCTCCTGACATTTCAACCAGTTCTTTCAAAATAATTTCTTCGTCCTCAACTTGTGGCAGAGGACTCAGCTGGTCTTTTAAGAAACGGTGTATGTCTTTCAAGTTCTCTTCGTCTCGTGTTTCCAGCATCAGGGGGCGCAGACATTTAAGTCTATCCGAAATGTTTATTTCTGGTCGTGTTGTAATAAGGAAACGGATCCACCGAGGAAGTTTGCTAAAGTAATTGGCAATGACGTCAATTAATTCGTCTCGTCCTTGGTAATCACTTTCGTCTAGGGCATCAATTACAACAAGTCCAGTAAAACCAGGATCCGCTGTTTTGCTCAGTGGTTCTTCAAACAGCAGCTCACACAAATCCCCCACTTCCATTTCATTGATGTCCATACCCAGATTTCTAGACAGCCGTTCCACAAGAGCTTTCCTATATTCTGGAAGAGAATGCGACAGATGACAGGCTAAGGACTGTAACATCACCTTAGGGTTCCTGTGGAGTGCTTTGTCATGTTGGCAAAAATGGCTTCCCAATAACTTTCCATCGAATTGCATTCTCTTACAAATCTCACCGGCAATCACAGATTTTCCCATTCCTGCATTTGCACCGATCACGACCACACGATTGGGAGAGTTTTTGTCGTTCAACCAACTTTCAACTTTGACAAAGATCGACTCACGAGTTCCCTCTAAATACCTTTCTGAGTAATATCTGATGCTGTTTTGCGTGCCTACCTTAGCAAGCTTTTTCAAGCTTACTTCCTCACTGTTGGACTTGAGTTGCGACTGACGAATTTCTGTAACGACTTGATGTACATCTTCCAGCTTGGTTTTGCTTTCCTGGAATGTTTCACGAGTCTCCAAGAGAGTTTCTTTCATTTCTTTCTGAGTTAGACATATGTTCCTTAGCTGTGTTTTGATGTCCTCTTCACTGACAGCCCAGTCGCGTAACGCGTCAAGATAATTTTCCTCTTCACCTCGCTCTGCCTTCAGTCTGTCAATTTCGGATTGCTGCAACCCAAGAGCTACAAGAACAGTACTGATTTCCTGCCACAGAACAGAGAAGGAGTGAGTGTCAACACCAGTGCTGGTTACATGACCGTACAAAACGTTACGGAAATATTTGACACGAGCAAGGTTCGCCTCGTGGGAGTTGTCACTAGGAGATGGTTTAGTGTGCCATCCTGTGGGGGGAGGGAACAATCCACAAATGTTAGTCAGAAGAAGAAATAAAAGAGTGATGTCAAACGTGTTGGAGTCTGGCATGGTTCCTCCAGGGGGGAAAAGTTTGTCCCACTGATGACCATTTAGAACTCTTCGCCGCAAGAGGTTGTTGAGAGTGGAATAATTGGCATTGAGATCAGCAGCTAAATTAGCTGAAGGATGATGATGATTGAAAACAATTCTTAGAACTGTTGTTCCACCATCGATAAGAAGCCTGCTTAGCTTGGCTCCATTTGTCTTCTCTTCAGAGCTGGCCAGGGGTGATGGTGCTGCAGCTGCCATTCTAATCCATCTTTTTAATTAAAGGAAAAGAAAAATACATAATTTATTTCCTGATTGATTGAATGACTAAGTGATTGGTTGGTTGTTTGAAACATGATTTTATTTTTATTTACACAAATAAAATGATACCTTTAAAGCACTCAAGATGATAGTTTGCTAAAACAAGATCATATTGATTTTGTCACCTATGAAATACCTACTTCTATCAGTTCTGTGACACGTTTATCAAGAGTTGTATAAATAACTATAAAGTTTTAACTAAATGAGTTCGTAAAATGTGTTACTTCTAAGAATTTCTTCAGGCTTTAATCATTTTTAGACCTTTTTATTGCACCGATCAGTTTAAATAATATTTCTGAAATATAAAATTTCTCTGGGACAGTAATTTCAATAAGGGCCATGCCTCTATTTTCTGCATGTCCTTGCAAACCATGATTACGCCTTTTCACTTCTTCATTTGAAATGACCTTGACTGTTACTTGCACTGTTAAGTACGTTACTTACAGATACAACTTACCACATTTATTTTCACTTTTTATACCACTCCTATACCTGAACCAGCTTCCTTTTGTTCTTCACAACCTGCAATGTATGTAATTGAGGGAATTTATATCAAGACACGAAATTTATCATCATAATATTGCCTGTACAATTTCTTGGCACGCTGTTAGCCAAAAGCGCTAGTCCTGGTCTGCCAAATTGATTCTAGTACAAATCAGATAATACAGGTAAAAAGAAAAAAGGAAAGAAAAATAAAAGAAAAATATGTGTGATAAAGTCAAAAGAGGAAGACACTCTTGAAAGAGCTGCTAAAAAAGGGCTATGAATAAGTGAGTTGATTCTACATATCTAGTTATCTGAAGATTACTCCAGATTTTAGAAATGGATCCTGGGCCATACACACTGCACCCTTTGCATGAATAATGACAAATACAAATAATAGTAATACCCAGGGTGCAAAGAAAATCATTTTTAAAGCTTGCCATTTGGGCAAGCTGAAGCTAGCATTCACTAGCCCAGACGTCATTTCAACTAGCCCCAAAAACTTTTTGACTAGCAGAATTGATTTCATTCTGTTATTCGAATTCCTGAAAAAACACCACTTGCCCGTTGGGCAAGTTAAAAACAGAAATCACCAGCCCGATGGCAAAATCCACTAGCCCTGGGCTATCGGACACTACTTTCTTTGTACACTAAATACCACAACTAATAATTTTTTATAATAAATCATTAATGTGATTTTTTTACTTTTAAAAATAATTACTTAATTTACAGAAATTTTTTAAATTAGAATGAAGCAAATTATATAGAAAACTAAAAACTATAGCATAAATCATAAAAATTCAGTGGCAATCACATTTTCCCACATTATACACTCCTTGTAGCTTAGATGCGATTGGTAGCAAAATATCTGACTTGCACAAGGTTCAGTGTTTTAAATCAAATCATGACAAAAAAATTATTCATTTCTGATATCAAAAAACAAGTTAAAAAGAGTAATAATAATATGAAAATAACTGGACTCAGACATATCAAGGGGTAAGTAATGGTACACATCAGAAATTCCTTTAGAATAACATGACCAGGATGTCCGCTATAATTTTTATGACTTGTGAAGTCATTTTTCATACAGTGCAAGTCTTACATGTGTAGTGCAATAATGAATTCAAGCAGATACCATAAACACTAGAAGAAATTCTCAACAAAAATGTGTTACTTTATTTACAAGTTAATTACTTCCTGTGAGGTTATTTTCTGGATCTCATGCAGTTTTAGCAATTTCTTTCACTCTCAAGTACCCAGTTCTAAAACTTGCATCAGACTGAGAAAATAACAACACAGGAAGCAAGAATCCACCATGTATTTAAAGAAAAGTACTTTTAGTAATACTTTCTGCAAGTACTATATCTATCTTGTTGAATCCAGTAAGACACTGGGCCAACTGATGTCGACTGACATATTGACTGATAGTCGACTGACATGTCAACTTGTAGTCCACTCGACATCTTAAGTGTAGGCCAATGTATCCACCCCTATCTTGCCCAAGTATCAGCCAATAAAGTTGACCGATGCTCTGCTGGGGTGCCCAAATTACACAATATCCACTTACACTACCAGCAGTCTCTCTTTTTACTACATGTAAGTCTGTTGAGTCTGTTGAGACAAGGAAGAAAAATGGCCACAATTAGTGCCCAACTATCAGCTTTTTTCAAGGTCACCAGACAACATAAAAAACTTTTGTGATTTAAAAATTAAATCACTGTGGCTGCCAAACTAACGCAGCCAAATTTTTGCTCTGGGAAGTACTGTAACAGGGTGCCAATGGGGTTAACTGCTTAATGTATAAAGGCCTTTTTTCTCTATCATAAGCATATAAATTACAAAATATTTACTGACAAGGGTATAAAAACAGGTGATTTTTTCAGTGGATATGGAGTGGAGTAGACCCAAAAAGTTAGAAATTGATACAAGATGAAGACTTTCTAAAATAAAGAGACGATATGATGAGATAGAAAGATAGAAATGTATACTATTTTGTCAATATTCACTCCACTTCAATCTGTTAGCTGACGTACATGTGACTTGCTCTTTGCTGCAACGTTGTGTTCGAGCCTGCATTCGAACTGCCTGCACTTGTGTCTCTCAATTCCAATTAGATGGGAACGCGGCAAAAGTTAACCTTGTCTTAATGATACAACCCTTTCGGCTTTCTGGTGTAAATCACATTGTTCTTAGTCTAACTAGTATTTTTCAAGCACAATTTCCATAAGAAAACAAAGGAGGTTTGTATCCAGACAAGGTCAACCGAAGCCTCACATTCACTCGAACGCTAGGTTCTAAAGCCCACAACTGTAAAATGGTTTATAGTCCCAGTGTCCTCATTCTTTACTTGCATGATCTTTCAAATGTGGTGTGACTGTCTATAATCTGGCATAATAGGGCTCAATGAAGTCTAATTTGGCCTGTAATCTTATGAATGATAAAACAAAATCAGACGACTGCATTGCGGGAGTCACGAGTCCAATTCCTTTAATCCCCTGACAAGTATAATTACAGATTGTCAATTGGGCAGGAAGTTTTATTTACCTTGAGCTCAGTCAATAGAGAGCGTGCGATGGCTTGACTGTCCAATTACTTACGCATGTCATGTACTTTCCTTTTACGTGTCCAATTAATGCTGTCATACCCATTACAATTTTCTCAAATTTGATTGATGCAGTAATTGCTTTCTTTTTCACTAATCATTGTGTAGGGTTGCAATCGGACAGTAGGCTGTAATTGGACACCTGTAATCGGACAGTTAAATTAGCCAATCATATCAAGTGCACTCAGCTAAATCCGCCAATCACAGAAGTTATCACAATAACCATGGCAACAACCACTTACCCTACCAAACCTGAGATTTTCCAAAATGGACGAATTTGTAACACTAGACAGTGTCTCCGCCAGTGGTATTTTCCCTTATTTTGGACATTTGGTTTTCAAATGCTCTTTCACCAAAAAAGAATGCATTTATTTTCTCGGAAATTGTAATGGTTATGACTTATGAATAAAGAAATGGAACTCCTGCTACGCGGTCGTCCGATTTTGTTAATCACTTGTATGATTACAGACTGAATTGGACTCCACTCAGTCCTATTACCATTATTAATCATAACTATAACAAAATTGTCAAACCTGATTGGCTATCAACTACCCTGATTTCAGCCTTAATTGGACAGTTTAATTGGACAGTACACACCATCACACGTGTGCTTAAATGGCTTTTTTTTTTTTTTTTTTTTCACTGCTAGCAAAACAAAATTTCGAATTTCTTATGTTTTGATTTAAAAAATAGCCTATTATATCACAAATTTTGTTAAAGTTATGATTAATTGGTAACAGAACTTCGTGGAGTCCAATTCAGTCTGTAATCATACTCATGATTAAACAAATCGGACTCCCGTGATTTTGTTAATCACTCATATGATTACAGACCGAATTGGACTCCACTAAGTCCTGTTACCATTACAAATAAGGGCTGCCAATAGCAAATTAGATTAGAGAGTTTTGTTATAGTTATGATAATAAGCAGCACAATGTCTGTGTACAAAAATTCAGATGTCATCAAGCACTTTTAAATGTTCAAGAAGGAGATGAAGGGAAGTGTGCTGTCTTCCAGGCTCAACAATGGAAGACAAATCGGGCGTCAGTAAGGCTGCATTTGTCAGAAATAATTTTCTTCACACCGATATGATGACATTGCTGACCAGTACTGGAAAAGTGGGAGAGCGCTTGGGAGTCTAAGGGGAGTGATTATGATTATTTTGGAAACACCACCCTATACACGATTTTAACGTCCGCAGAACTCACAACCATGCCAACTAACTAACTTAACGTTTTTTTGCTGCTTACAGACTGACTAGTGCTTTTCTTTTTTCTGTTTACTGACTAAATAGCATATTCGTAGCTGTTTACTGTCTACAACTATACCCCCCTGACACCCTCCTGTAAGCTTTTCGTCCCAAGACTGCATTTAAAAACAATAAATAAGTTGGTGGGGGAAAACACAGTGTATCATGGGGGATTTGATATTATTCTAAAACACATTTGTACAATGTTATGCCTACTGATACCTGTTGAATAATTTGATCGATGATCGTGGCTACACAGAAAACACTGCACAAAAGTAGGATGAATCGCAGAATACACCAAGGAAAGGTACAAAACAATAATGAAAGCAATTGTTCAACACCTCTTTCTTCAAAGAGTTTCGAGATCAAGTTCAAGGTCTAGTTTCATCTGTTTCACCCATCGGTTGATATTGAGGAAGTTGCCTCCCCAGCCGCCTTCCCAAAGGATCGCTTTCCCAGAGTTCCTAGTAGATCTTGCGATTTGAAAGGGGGGACATCTGATCCGTAGTGTCGTTTTTGTGCAGAATTGGTCAGGTTTGTGTTCGTATAAATTAGGCAGGTCCTCACAAAAAAACGCCACGGAAACACATTTTGTCGATCTCAACTTTTACGTGAAAACTTTCGCCGCCTGCAAGGACGCTTGCTCGCATGCCATCCTCCCCCCCGTTCAGGTTGCTCGGCCACCATCCCGGAATTTCGAGCCTGCAATCATCGTGGTCGTTATGTCAGGACTGTTCGCTAGTTGTCATGCGTAATGTGCGCGCGGTTTTCGAAAGAAAATGGCTGTCGTCCACAGCAGGTTAGAGAAAGTCCACAGATGAAATACGACAGTATAATGATGTTAATTTCAATAGAGTAAGATATTTAAGAATACCTCGCACATAAAATCTCGGTTGAATTAATGGAAGCCGAATTTACAGCCGATAGTGTCAAGTTGCAGAATGTCTTCTCTGTTTTCAATTGGTGAAGATGAGTTGGATCTGGACGACGAGGTGAGCTTAGTAATCAATTCTAAGATAGTTTCTTTTAGTATATATGTTGTAGTTAATTTTTTATTTCAGGTAATTTTTGTTTTTCTTTTGTTTTTGGGTATGGTAATGTATGCTAATGAAATTGAAACAAAAGAAAAATAAAAAATACCTGGGGTAGCATTAGCATTAGTGTAGTTTCTCTTGAAATATTTTGTTATGTAAAAAGCTCACTGGAAGAGCATTATTAACGAAGAGACACCTGTGAATAAAGCTTGATTATTTGTTGTTGTTCTTGTTGTTGTTGTGCGCAGTGGCCATGTTGGAGGAGTAAAACAATAAAACGATTTTCCTTTGGGAAAAAGTGTCATTTTCATGCTATTAGTTTTTTATTGCTTACTTCTACATTATGTACAACATGGCCATCGTGCTCAGATCTCAGATCAGGAGGCACTGATCTCAGATCAGGAGGCACTGAAGGAAACTATGCTCAAGCAGTGCCCAGTGCCTCCTTGTGACTTTTTTCATTTGTTACATGTGCCTGTGTCATTGCTCAACCATCTTCGTATTTTTGCGTTTAGAAACTTACAATGCCCGGACCTTTGGCCAGCTGCAATTCATACTTTAGAACTTTTAGGCTACCTACATGAACAGTACTTCTCAGAGTAGGACCTTGTATTAAACTATCTATTTTAGCATGAGCTTATACATGTATGTATTTTTTTGTTTTTGTTTTGGATTTTTAAAAGGATTGCTTACTGGCAGCATGTGGCATAAGCTCTTCAACTGATAGGGTAGTAGAAGATTCCAAGAGTAATTCAGTTACTGGTTTGAACCAATCAAGCTTTACAAGGCAGCTCTTGAGAACTAAAGAAGCGGAAAAACAACAAAAGAGCTGTGAAAGACGGCCTTTTGAATCCATCAGTAACAAAAGCAAAAGTGAAAGGACCTCTAACCTTAAAAGGTCTTCAGAGCAAATACATAGGAGTTCCTCTTTTATAAACTGTCCAAACAACAACTCAACTTCACATCTGTCAACTAGTGCACTGAATATTCCGTTTGCAAAGCGATTTGCTATTGATCCACACCAGACTTTGGTAAAACCAACTGCATGTAATTCTCCAAGAGGCAATGTGCTTTGTTCATCTTCCACACTAAACTCAACAGACCATTCATCTCTTACAACACATTCTTGTGATAATTCTTCACCAGTTCAGAGGAACTCAATTGCTGGTGTTTCAAAAATACAGGGACTGCAACAATATAGCTTTAGACCTTCAAGTTCAAGCAACAGAGTGGGTCACTCAGTAGACAGTGCCTCATCATCATCTGGAAGCGATCCTACACATTCATCAACACCTTTACTAAGGAAAGAATTTTATAGATTGCGCGAGGTTTCATCTAATTGTAACAAGGCATTAAGCAGTTCAAAAGATGCAGCTAATTCTGCATTAATACAAACAAAAAAACATTCAACAGGACCACTAGTGGCTGGAATTCCAACTGGAGATCTTTCCAATATAACAGGCAGTACAGCTACCAGCTCCTCTAGTGAAAGAAAAAGACAGTCTATTACAAGCGCCTTTAATAAAAATAACATTGGACCAAGGGAGTTTGAAAGCCCTAGAGTGTCCAGGCAGAGTGCTATTTCAAGTCCTAGGACACCACAGGCTTACCAAGCTGTTACTCCACGTACCAGCAAAACACCAATTTCAAGGAAGTTTCCTGGTCCTGCTGGGCTGCTGCCTAAACTGGTGAGTAAGAAATGTTTTTATTAACACTAAGGGTCTCAAGTAAAAGAAAAATTTCACTGAGTTATGTTTTAAAATAGATAAAATGTTACTAATTATTTGAATGTATTGTCGACTTTCATGTAAGGAGAACAAACTATATTGTTGTTTGGTTTACTGCAGAGTCCTGGTCGAAACCTTGATGATTCTTCTTTTGCATCTCCACTACCAACTACAAAAAAACCATCAACAGTTCAGAGTAAAGTACGTAATGATGTTTTATTTTATTTCTATAAGACTGCAAGATTTAGTATGCTTTTTTGTAATAGTATAGTCATGTGGCACAAGTAAAGTGAATACTTTTCAGTTTTGATCACAGTTGAACCTCTGTTTCATTGGCTAAGTACAGTGAGCAATAAATTATTATTGTTTTGTCCACTGTGACTCGATAACAAATTGCTAAATCGAGGTACATGGCAGCTTAAAAGAACACTTGGCTAATATGTTGTAGAGCTAGCACTGACTGACTATAAATCTTTCATTCTTGTTCTTGGAGTGTGAACACTGTCTTGTGAATTTGAGTATACAGTATTGCATAAAAATAAATGCTCTTAACAGCATGCATGTAAGTCTTGACTGACAGAGGACCAATAACATGGTGACATAATTGACCAATCAGATCAATAACCAGAGTATAATACCATGAACTGACGTGATATAACTCACTTTGACTCTGAAGATGACTACCGCACAGGTTTTTGAAACGTCAGTCACTGTCAACAACAACAGTCCTATTCTGGACTACGTTCACCTGGACGATCAAACTCAACCTTTTTTTCTAAGGATTGTGATCAAATGAATAAGCATTGTATTTGTACTAACTATTGTTACATGTAAAATATTCCACAAGATTGATACACTGTTCTTCTCCTTCACAGGTTTCTCAGTCAAGTACATCAGAAGATGACGATTTTAATCGAGATCCATGGACTTGTATGTATCAGGAATTCCTCAAAAGTAAGTTTATGTGTGATCTAGTTTGCAACTTTTTACATGTACAGTGTATGTCTATTTTCAACTGTAAAAATCCAGTTATGTGCCTTTTCTCTTCACCTTGGACCTTCAATTACATAATTATACATCTGTAAATTGTCAGTGCTATATTGGCAATTTTGCGCTTTTGAGTAATTTTATAGAAAAAGTGCAATATAAGTATTAAATATTATTATTATTAATATTATTGTTATTATTAGTTTTCATCCATGTTCTCTCCCCTGTTGTTCTTTGATGTAGAGTCTGTTTGAGTTTTACTGTACTGCCTGAAATAAGTACATGTATATATAGTCCATTATTTCACCACTTTAGTTCCCATAGGTGTCCAGTCCAGAGGGACGGGGGATAAGAGCTGGCAACAGATTTATTTCTTTAGGGGAAGGACAAGGAATTAGATTTGTACTTCATGCATTGTTTTATGCAATAATTTTGTGACTGATGATACGTCTGTAACTAACTGAAAGAGAAAAAGCTGTGATCATATTAACGTTTTTGCTGCAGATGTTCCGTTGACAATGAGGTATACCATAATCAGAGCGCATTCAGAGGTACAATTGTTTTGTATGTTTATACATCTACAGGACTGGTGCCGATGCATTTACTGTTAGCTCTCACTTTGTGGTACAGTAAAACCCTGTGTATAAGAACCTGGGTTTTAAGAACCTGTTAGGCTAAAATTTTCATTTAAAGCCCCCTCCACATAAGAACCTATTAAGGCTAAAATTTTAAGTGAGGTTCTTATCAGTGGAACTGGTCATGAATGTATTGTATTTGTCCCAAGATTTTCTTGGTATCAACTTTGAAATGGCATTTCAGAGAACTGAGTATGATTTTGTTTGTTATGGTTTGTTAAGGACATACCTGCACTGTACTGCCTTTAGGCATTACTGTATGGTATAAATGATTTATATTGTATTATGAGATGATAAATTATTTATAATATATTTAAATGAAATTCATATGAAATTATAAGAACCTATTTTAAGAACCTTTAAGAATCTGTTCAGGACAGTACCCACCTGGACAACCATGTTCATTACTTACGCGTTGTACATGTATGTATGGACATGCACACGGACAGATTCACATTGGACATTTCCCACATTACATGTACTCAATAGGCATCATCGTATTATAACTGAACAAGAATATTCATTCAATCCTGTAGGCTATTCAGCAAACACTAGATCATGGTAAAGTGCCATGTCTGTGTGCTCTTGTTAAAGCCTTTTCACTCAAAGAAGCAGATGCCAGTGTTTTGCTCAAGGATCCTACAGGTATGATAAACAGGGGCAAAGTTGATATCCAGTCAGGATAACTTGAGGATATAAAAACATCCCCCATTTAATTATTGATTTTAAATGTAACTGGCAATTATTGGAGATATTAGGCCAGTTATGATAATATCATGAAGAATTATTCAGATCGAAGAGGATGCTGGACAAACCCACAAGCAATTGATAATGCCCTCTCAGATCGGTAAACATTCTTCATATTCTATTTTTCATTCAAAATATTGCCAAGGGAAAATTAAGCCCGTTCATGGATTTACCTGTTCCTGGGACGTTTCAGGGTTTAGCAAAGTTTAGTCTTGCCGATATTCTTAAAAAGCAGTTGTAATCTGTCAAGTGGTATTTATGCTATTTTTGCAGCTACATTGTAAGTTTCTTGGCGGTATTTATTTTTCTTAAGTTACCATGCAATTTTCTCCAATTTTCAATTAAATTTTCAATTTACTGAAGTTTGTTTACTTCAAACAAGATAAAGGTAATGTAATATTTTTTTATGTAAATTACTATCTGTTGTGTGTTCTGCTGTTTTTTGAGTGAATTTATTTTGTTTACCAGGTGAGATTCATGGAACGCTGCATCGCAAAGTTCTGGAAGATTATCAAACTGATTTGGCTCCCGGGGCAGGACTGATACTGAAACATGTAAGTATCATCAAGTTAACCACAAAGACGAGCTATAAATTTAGGACTTACATGTTCATTTATCTAGTATGATTATTAAAAGGGAGGACAAGTTGACCTTCAGAACGTTTTTAAAGCAGTTAATGGTATTTGTGTAATGTTATTATTTTAGTTAGCCTTGCAACAGTCTCTCAACTTTGCCCTCATTTTGTCAAGGCAAACGCATCACAATACTTTCATTTATGTCTTAATGTTACTTGTGCATGTTCAAGGTTAGCAGTACAGTGGCATACATGTGTGGATACACGCATCAAATTATCATAATAAAATAATCTAGACGGTTCCCACTGGTGGTTAATTCCTAAAGACCAAGTATTTTATCAAGTGTATAGTTTGCATAGCCTGGCCTTGTAAAATAATAAAGCTCTAGTAAATAAATACTCTGTAAATAAAGCCATTTACATCAATGCCTTCAGTCTTTTATCATAACTAATAGTTATAATAACAACGGTAGTAATTTTAAAAAAAAATAAGAAGTCTGGTGAAACATGAGTAATCTTTCAAATAAATGTAACCAAGGTCTACACCTCCCTCCCCTTCCCTTCCTCCCCCCCCCCTTCTTAACTGACTACTTCTACAACCATACCATCTTGTTTGGCAATTTTATGTCTAAACTGAATGATTTATTTAGTTTCGCCAAACTGTTTAAATGTTTAATTTTCCAGGTGTCAGTGTTTAGTCCAGCTCCAAGGAAACATTACTTGAACATCACCCCAGGCAACATTCTCCAGATCTACCCTGCCGACCCTCAGAATATCATCAACAGTCAACCTTTGGTAAGAATTACACACATCCCTGCAGCTAGCTGTACAGCTATGCATACATGGGTGTAAGACGTTGAGAACCTACATCTATACAACCCATTTGGACGTGAACACCCCCTAACCGCCCATGTGGAACCAGATCCCCTGTACCGCGGTTGAGTGGTCTGCTTGTCAGACTCGCCATCCGGGTGGTGCCAGATTCGAGTCCCGCTCTGGCCGCTTGCTGGATTTGTTCTCGGTCGTCCCGAATTCAAATCTTCGGCCATGCTTTTAAAATAGCCAACTGGTTCGCCTCCTACCAGTTGGGGTTTTTAATCCTGTTATGTTCTATTTGGATTCTTTGTCTCTAATATTTTTAGTGGAGTGCCTGTAAACTAGCTGGGAAAGCTATGTTCACTTCCACCATAAACAAACCTTTTCCTTCTTATGACTTCATAATTATTAAAGCATCGACCCTGAGAAAAACACAAAAAATCATTTACATTTTACCAGAAAATTCCTATGAAAATAGTATTCTACTGCACAACATGTCCTTCAAAATTTGTTACGATGCACAGGTTTTGCGCGGAAATCTTGTCTCGCCGGAAGAATCCTTAAGTAAATGCCATGAAATGCCCAGAGAAAGGAAAAGAAACAACGGGGCAAAAAACTTAAAATCGTGGGGGTAGCTGGAATTATGACCTTTATATAAACGTTCTTTACTTTTCGAGCACACCCTCAATTTTTTTTTTTTCATCAAGGCATCACAGTGTACTCAAGTGGACAGAAAGCAGATGGAGCACAGGTATCTTATATACAGTGAAAATTTTATTGTCTTTTTAATATACATTCTAGTGCTTAGTGAGCAGGTTTAGAGAATTAACCAATACAACCTCGTTCCCAGGGTTCTCTCCTACCCGTCGGGACGGTTAGGAGAGAGAACCTGGGAACGAGGTTGTAAACCAACGTTTGTTGTTATCGACTAGGCTTCATGCAATTAGCCTGGGAGAGAAGTGGCCAATTTTTTTTTTTGTTTGTTTGTTTTTTTACCCTTCAATTCGTTCTACCTTTAGTTAAAAGAATATTCATCTTATTCTTTTTTCTTCGTTATGTTAATTTTTGTTTGTTTGTTTTGCTAGGCCAGTGAGTGAAAGTGGTGTTGCTATAGAAGCTGTGGACCTCACAGCTGGTCCGAGTGAAGAATCTACTGAAGAGGCCGAGCTATGGAATCAGAAAGGTAAAACGTCCGACTGCAACCCTTACATGTATGTACATGTAGCTTAAAAAACTCAGGAACTCGGTGATAGCTTGCAAAACATGTCTCAACTGGGCGCTTGAAATTCAGCGAAGAACTTGCGTTAGTTTAGTTTTTCTTACTTCACATTCTTAACTTTCAGTGGGCTCATTTGTGCATCAAGGGCAAAATTTTCAGATTCTTTTTTGATGTAGCTAGAGAGCTTTCTATTTCATCATACTCATTTTTTGCACTGTCACTAACGTTTGTAGAATTAAAATCCTCGTCATTAAATGTTTCCAAGCTGCCTAATCAATTTTGTTCGCCCTTTTCTTCATGTATGTGGTGTGTATCTATCTCCAGAGCATCAGCGCATTGAAGTAAAACTTATCTATGTTCTAGTTTGTAGATCCAGTAGTCGAACTTAACACTAGATATTCCAGAAGTAAGTGCTGCTGAGGAAAAAGGGATCAAGCCAGTTTCAGATGACGTGAAGACACTTTCTACACACACTGTAAAAACTGTAATCTTGTCTTTCTTTCTTTTTTTTTTTTCCTCAGACTGTTTCGAGGATTTGTTGGAAGGACTGGACGATGATGACGACCTATTGGATGAGGCTCTTCTGTTATGAAAAAAGGACAAGGATATTGATAATGTTTCCGTGTCAAACGGAACATAGAAAATTAATTTGATCAAATTTTTCGAGGTTCTGCCTTAATTAACATAGCTTAACCTTCTTAGATTAAGTAGAAGGTAATATAAAAAATGAGTTTAAAGAGATTGAATTAATTGTGACTACTAAGAATTCATGTCGACATATTCACAATTTATGTCGTCAAAGCCTCCTCTAAAATACGGTCCATTTTACGCCTGTGTGGAGACTGTTCAGACAGAGAAAAATGGGTTACCTTAACTGTAAAAAGTTCTATCATAAGGCTTGTGAAATAAAACAAAACAACCATTCATCTTTCCCATTCCTTGACATTGAGCCTAAAATTTAATAGTTATATTTAAAGCAAAGATGAACTCGACGTTGTGTTTCGTACTCACCTAGAAATGGCCTACCTTGTTCTTGCCTCAGTTTTCGCGGATTATTAATTTCAGTCCCAACCTCAAAAGTCGTATATCACTATTACTTAATTTCTTGAAAAAAAAGAACCAAAGCGTGTGAAATTTTGAAGTACATGTATCAATTGCTGATGCAGATGATATTTGTCTGAGCTTGCGTTAAAAAAATGTGTAATTTAATACAATTATAGAACCTTATATCATGTCCGAAGCTTACAGCAACTCAAAAATTTGTGTTATGTCATACAGTATAAAAAGTATGTCCCACCTTTGTGACTTAAAAATTCCATTCTTCTCAAAAGTCCAGTTTTGTTGTTGTCCCTTTGTTTTTAAGTATGTATCATCCGACACCTTTCCTAGACTACTGTTTTTTTTTTAAAGAAACACGGTGGAAATTGTGAAAGCAAGAGTCACTCACTTCCTTTCAAAGCGAATTTAGAACGAAAACTGATTCTAGGGAGTAGAAATTACAATCATAGATCAACCGGTAGCAGTGAAGATTAAATCTTCATTTGAATGCACCAATTTGTTACATCCAGTGCACAGGTATGTTCAAAAAATCAGAGACGCTTGCCGCTTTAGTAAGTCTTTTAACCTAGTACCCAGTCCGTCACCTACAATTTGTTAGAGCACTGAACTGACTGAATAGCCGACTCCGCGTTTGCACTTACAGTGACTTGCGCCAAAGCGAGGCGAAGTAGTTACTGACTCCGAAGCTGCGAAAGGCATTTTATGCAGGTCTACACGGATCTGGATATTTTTGAAACCAAATATTTTTCCCACGAATAGACCGCGGATGAATGAAGAGGTTAACTGGTTCCATGTGGACGGAAGGCTGATTCCTGTAAAAAAATGCGGTTTCATAAATATCCGAATTCATGTGAACAATTACGTCGGTAGAAGCGAAGAGTCTAGTTTCAGTTGTATATATAAAGAAAAATAAAATAACAATAATGATTTGGAGGTAGGACATCCACAAAGTGGTTCTTCGTCTACCTGATTCCTGGTCGAATTGGAATCTGGAAGTGTTGGTTTTTGAGGAGAGGGGAAAACCAGAATACCCCGGAGAAAAACCTCTCGCAATATGGATTTATTCACCTAGTCCCTGGTCCTTGGTCCGCGCCATTGTTGAACAAACCGGCCGGCTCAAGTCTGCACGGTCCACGAAAATATATATGAAGATAAAATTTCATTGTATCAGTAAAATGTTTTACGCCTCTCCGGAAGAGCACTTGGATTAGATAGAGTGTTTTAATAAACCTTAGTTTATGATTAAGATGATGATGATGTTAGAAAACCAGGCTCTTTCAAATTTTTCATTATAAACAGATTACTATTAGAAATCGTAACTTCGATGATACTAAAATGTTCCAAATATATACATATATATATATATTTTCCTTTACGTGAACATTTTTACGTCCATTATATATTTTCTAACGAGTACTCCCGCATTACTCTTGTTTAAATTTGATTTGTCCTAATCGTAAGGTTATGGAGCTCAATAGTTAAAATGTAGACTACGAGTAGTCCCCCATTTTTCCTCAGGGATAGTAGAGCGAGCGAAACGCGAGCGCGCGTGAAAAACACTCCACGCGACAAAGGCGAGACGTTCTCTCTCCCCGCCGCGAGTCGCCTTTTCTCGCGTGGAGTGATTTTCACGCGCGCTCGTTAAAATGTAAAATCTGGTTCTCCGACACGAAACCTCAGACTGTAACCAAACTCTGATATCCTTCATGAAGGACACTAGCGAATATTTTCATCGTTGACGACTCGTTTAACACTCTCAGGATCCTAAGAGAGCCCCAAAGGGAAAATAAGCATTGGAACTGCAGGAGAGGTCGCAGAACCTTCCCAGCATGCCACGATATCCTTTCCACAGCCAGCTGATTACCAGGGACTGGGCCAAGTGTATCCGAGAAGAACCGTTCCTGCCGGGAGGCGAGCAAAGCCGTGTGTTTGAATATGAATGTATTCAACTGTTCATCTCCAGTTTCATTCCATACATCACAATTCTTTAAATTAGCCGTCTGTTTGGCAAAGTCCTTGTCATTTATGTCTAAACGGAGCTGGAGGCAGTACGGTTTTCGCCAGCTTCTTCGTATTTTCTTCTGACGGATTTTGGATTATACAGTGATTTCAACATTACATCGGTTCTTCTTCTCTTATGTAAATAGCCAGATATATCCGGGAATTCTAAATCCTCATCTTTGTCTTTGTTGAAATCCAATAGTTTCCGTTTGACTGCTGCAGAGTACTTCCTTTGGCCTTTCTGGACAACACAGTCACCTCTCATATCATTATATATGAAGCCCTTGGCGAAAAGTTTGTTTTCAAGGAAGAGGAAAAATATGGCGACTACAGCGAGGGAAGCTCCGAGAAAAAACACGCCACTAAGTGCACGCACGGTTAATCTTTGATGATGTTCCTCGCTTCTGTCTTCACCTGAAGATACCCATTTCTTATACAACTCACTTGGTCTGTAAGAAACAATGATAATATCTTTAATTACAGCAAAAGTCGCTCATTGCACTTATTAAGGAAGGCAGATACCATAACATGGCTTTTAGCACTCGTCCCATGATTTCCTCCCCAGTCCACCAAATCACATTGAACCTTAAATTGAGAGAGGCTTGGGTACTATGTTCACCTTTCAGTAGTTGTACCACCACTCCTAATAATAATAGCAATAATCATAATAATAATAATAACAACAATTTTATTAGAAGTGCTTCGATGAGGTCGATCTTCGTCTACTAATACTAACTACAATGTGCCCTAACTACAGTTTTAAATTAAGATTCTTATATAAAAAGATGTGTTTTGAAGGATGCTTTGTTTGCTTTCAGCTTGGCGTTACGTGCTTTTTGAGGTAACTGTGAGGGAACTCAGGAGGTAGTCTGTTCTGCTTCAGTTTTCATTTTTGCACTTATGTACCAGCACTGATTTCGTACCAAACACTTAAGGTATTAGGCTTTTAGCACTCGTCCCATGATTTCCTCCCCAGTCCACCAAATCACATTGAACCTTAAATTGAGAGAGGCTTGGGTACTATGTTCACCTTTCAGTAGTTGTACCACCACTCCTAATAATAATAACAATAATAATAATAATAATAATAATAATAACAACAACAATTTTATTAGAAGTGCTTCCATGAGGTCGATCTTCGTCTACTAATACTAACTACAATGTGCCCTAACTACAGTTTTAAATTAAAATTCTTATATAAAAAGATGTGTTTTGAAGGATGCTTTGTTTGCTTTCAGCTTGGCGTTTCGTGCTTTTTGAGGTAACTGTAAAGGAACTTAGGAGGTAGTCTGTTCTGCTTCAGTTTTCATTTTTGCACTTAGGTACCAGCACTGATTTCGTACCAAACACTTAAGGTATTTTCCACATTAAAAATTCACAATTATTCAATATTTGGAGTTGTATTGTTTGGTCCTTGTGGTCCTTTTAGTTTAGTTAATCTTTGAGGTACACTACAGAGGGAAGAAGAATCATTGCAAACGTGAGGTTTTGAATGATTCCCTTATGCACTCGATGGCCTGAACCAACTTTTTCTCTAATGCATACAACAGGCTATCCATGGGCAAACATTGATGAAAGTTATTACTTTTTAAACCTTGACTATCCTTTGAAGTAGTGAATCGAAACACACGGAAAAACTCCAGCATTAACCAAAGCGGAAAGGTTACAGTTGAACAGGGTCAGACAGGCAACCTTGACGAACAAAAAACAATCGATTGAAAGTGTTTGTGTCTGGTATTGCTTCGTATTTACAGGCCCAACATTCAGATTGATCTTCCTTCTTTTTTAATTATTTTCTGCCCAGCAAAATATCTACATCATAGTATCCGATAATGATCGGTAAATATATAGGACTGTTATTGGAAGATCAACAACAAATGCTATCAGCTCCACTCACACATTTTCTGCTTTCATTCTGTTGATGACCAAGTCAAATTTGGGTTTCCATGGAGAGTTCTTTTTAAACGCGTAAGAGTAGCCACTCTCGGCAAAGGGCGCAGAGGCACCTACAACCTGTAGTCTGGGGTACGATACTGATTTTTGTTTGGCCACTTCATAGTCTATGGATAACACTTCACTGATAAAGATATCCAACTGCCTGAAATGAAACAAACATAGTCAGTATAACTTGCAGACAAAGTCATATATTTTATGGTAAACTGTGTGAGAACGATGTTTGGTTAAAATAGCGGTTAATTTGGTTAATAAGATCCTCCACCCGACCAAAACAGCTTTATTTGATTCCTGGCTACGCCTCCTATTTAAAATTAGCGAGGTTAGCATCATTATGGTTTGTTTTCTGGTTAAATAATACTGCTTGTGTTACGACTTAAGACATTTGTTGTCCCGCTTGACCGATCACAAAATTTGTCCCGATGATTGGGATAGCACACTTGCTATTCTCTCTTGGTTCCAAGCCCAATGTGTGAATTTAATGCACAGCAGCTACTTACACCCTTTCCCCGTCTTTCAAAGACCATTTTACATTACACATTCATGGTAAAAAATATCCAATTTTAAAACGGCATAACACTAAGAAAATGTGAAATTTCTTTCACTCTAACGCAAATTTTTCACATAAGCTAGTGACACAAGCATGCAAGGAAATAAGGATGGGAGAAAATGCTAGCCTTTGCTGTGACTACCTTAATCTCTATTCAGATAAATAGTGTACCCAATTAGCTAAAATTCACTTGTAATCATTAGATGACAGACTAACTTTTTCTTAACTCGTTCCACTCCATCAGTAAAGTTATCCACCAGGTGCTTCTTATCACGCATGCGTGTGAACATGAACCGCATGGCTGGATCTTCGTTCAGTTCAAAGTAGGAATCAACATAACTTGACTTTACCACCCCGTATGATATCGTGGACTCGCGTGACGTGATCTGAAGAAACATAAAAAAGTTACGAATTCTCAGAAAATGTTTAATGTTTTAGACGAAAATGAAAAGCTACTTGTAGCGGCTTCCTTGTAAGCCTTCATTCGGGAAAACACTTGGGCATAACCTTAGTGATTTCATTGTGGTCCGAAGAGGAAAAGCTGCCGATTTATTTTCTCTTCCTCTCAAGATCGGGAGCTTTCTCGCAAACGGTCTTTTCAAAAGGCTGCGATGAAAACGAAAACGATTTTGGACTACATAAGAAGGTTTCACGATTTTAAAAAAGCAGAGAATACCTTATCTCACTTAAACCTTTCCGTCCTAATTATCCGCGGATGGAAACTGACAACAGCATTTTTTCAGATGTAAACGGAACGCAAGCAGCCTTCCTTATAGTAGCTGTGAGTCATTAATCTTAAAAATTTCATTTTAAAAATCAATGCTTGTGGAAGAATTAGGCAAAATGCAGCGCTGACTGATTGATTTTTGTTTTTTTGTTTTTTTCGTATACAGGGAACTCGTTACTAACCTTAGGATCCCGGATGCCTGTGACTTCAGGTTTAGTGTCGTCAGACAGAAGGTGGGCAGTGAGGTTTGCAGTGTATGACGTCACACACATCAAAGCAAATATTGCCAAAACAACCGCCATTGCACGAGCGCTCAAACTCCTTGGTCGCGAGTCCACGAACTGGTTATCGAAACAAACTCCCCAACAATACCACATACTCTCACTCAGATCAAAACCATTATGATTTTTGGCGCGCACAGATTTATAATGACCATAAGGACTCAACCGGTCCGTGTACCACAGAATTCCCAGGTAAAAGTTCACTACTCCGATCATACTTATCCAGAGATAGGAAGTAAAAGGATGAAAGAAAGAGAAGTCTAGCCTCTCAACTTTTTGTTCTCCCACAAGCACAAGCAAAGCAAGACCAGCGTGCGTCCAGCGCAACGAGAAATCAATCACTTCCGAACGTGCTTCATTTGTCATTAAATCAATGGCGATATCTGCTTTTCCCTCCTGGATGTCACGCACGATTCCATTCCACGTGTTCGCAATGGAATTTTTCGCACCGTAATTCCCGTCTCGTACAAAGTACACCTGCGGTTCAAACTGTAACTCGGTCTTGACGTACCTCAACACGTCAATAGCTAAACCATAACAGCAATATGTGGTGAAATTATCTGTATTTCCAATATATTTCTTACACTCTAACCCCTGATAACATCCTTCAGATGAGTCGAAATCTGCTTTCATGGTCAGCGGCGGGTATTCCACTACTGCAGCTCGCAATCGGGGTATTTCAGAGTTTGCCTTCTCCTTGCCTCTTAACAGTTGATTGGATTGTAACGTTATTCCCTCACTAGTCCACCGCCCTACTTGTAACCAACCCCCCTCATACGATTTTTGGAGATAAAGAATTTCATAAGAAGCGGTTTCTTGATCGTCTTTACCTTGCATGGTGCTTGGAACACTTGACTGAGCCTCTCTCCGGAGTAATCTAAATGCAGAAAACGACAAAGGCAAAAGATAATGAGTGTACATGATCTGTTGCACTTTCTGAGTCTTATCGCATCCCCGGTTAGTCTACAACCTTGTCCAGAAGAGTACTTTTAAGTTAAAAATTGATTTTATTTATTTAATTTGGGCGCGCACCATGTATTCAGAACTGACAAACGACCAGCCATGTGCAGTCCAATCTTATAAAGAATTCTGTCCAGTCAGATAATTTTATTCATCCTAAATACCATGCATGGAATGCAGTGATGGGTTTTTAGCGAAAAGTCTCGAATATAGCCCTAACCCTAACCCTAACCGTTATTTTCGCAATGATCGGTTCAACGGGCCAGTTCTGATTTTTGTTAAGCGCATGAAGGTTTTGCTGGTCCCAGCTAATACATCTGCTAGTGATGGGCGGGCTTTTAGTGGTAAATGTAAATATAACCTCTACAAACGAAAGCGTTTACATTCCGATGCCTATCAGTCCATTTGCGAACTTACTAGTATTTAGGAATTGGCGAATTTATTTAGGAAAATATCCGCCTGCGAGCGCTTTCCGTATGGACGAAAGCCGTCGTCTCTAACGTTTATATCTGTTTACTGAGAGGTGTACATATAGTGAGATAAGACCGATCTGAATTTGTTGTACTGAGCTCTGAGCGCTTTTTTTTTTGCTGCGCTATAGTAAGGTAGTTTATGCTTTAATAGAAGCAATTATTTAAGTACTTACTCATACAACTGTTTCCCTTTAGTCCATTTCGGTGACCTAAAACAGTTTGTTGGCCTCCGCAAGTAGTCTAATATGACCTCGTCCTCCATGGAATCATAGGTTCTTTTTACTACTGATAAGTTGTCAATCAACTGTCTTCTCTCAACTTCCTCTTCGTTTGAAAACGACTCTGTTCTAATGAGATATGTGGAGCTAGGAAGTTCGTATAGGTTATGAACGTTTTCCAATGATTTCTTGGACAGAATCCATAAAATATCATCGTTAATTAGGCGGAAGTCTTTGGCAAGCCAAAGAATAAAATGTGCAAGCTTTGAATCACAGTAAAGATATACAGCTTGTGTAGTGCTTGATTTTATCCTCTGTAACTGTTGGATAATTTCTTGCTGTTGAATGTTTGGTGCTCCGAGATGGATGACAGTTAGTGATATGAATTGTTCATCGTCATTGCATTGTTGTAAGGCGAAGCTGTACGAAGTATCGTCACTTACTACAACAAACGCTTTTCTTTTACCGACATAACGCAGTAGATCGCAGAATACAGTGAACTGTGAGGTACTGGATGGAATGTTGCGAACAAAAGTACTGAAGTATTGCTGAAAAAAAAATCAGAATCACATTTCATGAAATATCTTTTAAATGATGATGATATATAATGATGACGATGATAATGATGATGATATATAATGATGATGATGATGATAAAGTGACTAAAAAATTGTCAAAACGGTTAAATATCCTTAAAATAGCAGGTGACGCCATCCTAACGAGATTTCACATTATTTTATTCTTGAGACAACGACGAAAGGGCATAACTTAATTGAGGAAAATTTATTCCACCCTACCCCTTTGGACGGCTGCTACGCAGGGTAGCCTCTCTTAATCAATAAGAGAGACCGACTGGTTTATCGCTCTCACTTCAGCTGCACGTGAACGCGTACTGTACTTCGTTTTAACCTTCTCGGTCCACGTGTTAACGGAACCGCAGGTCCGCAGGTCCGCAGGTTCCAAACAACGATTCCCAGGTAGGAGATTTTTGAAAACGCCGGCCTAACGTTTACGTGTGAATGGAAGAAAACGGAGGTTTTGGAATACGATGATCTGATACGTCATATACTACTGTCATTACGGGATGTTATCATATTTCCATCGTTTTAGCGTTCATGTAGACGGGCAAAAACGATTCAAAGACTCTACGTGCGAACCTTTTGCAATATCTCCGTTTTAAAAAACTCCGGATAAGTGTGGAGTGGGCCTTATTTTGGGCCCGTTTACATGTGGACTTGAGGTTAAAAGTGAGGAAAAAAATCCGGATACGTGTGGACGAGATCTTGATCCCTTTCATCTTCTTATCAGTAACTGCAAGATCTGGGTGATTTCACTCTTCCTTTCTTTCTTTCTTTGTATCATTAAGCTTCTCCACGTAAAAAATTGGAATAATTTTGGCAAAAGTTTCCAAGAAAAGAAATTGTATCATTAAACAATGTTTACCAGTTTTTTAACTTCAAATATAACGCTAATGTCAAGAAGCTGTCTGTGCTTTAATCACTTGCAAGCAATTCTTCTTTAACATCACTGCACTTTTCAATAATATGAAATCACTTAAAGAAAAATATCTAGCAAACGTTTTCTGGTTCGTTTTTTGCCTCTGTTCTCCTTCTCAAGTTAAAAAAGCCCCGTAAAATTTTCAATGGCTAAGCGGTAGCTGGACACAGTTATATCCTGTTGGGAGCGAGGATCTAGACGAGAAACAACACAGCTATAATTTATGTATTTGAAAGGGAGATACTATAAATTATTATCGCTCCTGCAATTAATTACTGATCAGTTGGATTTCTAAAAGTCCAAATTACTATTTCACTCATTTTATTAGCAATAAACTCAAATTGAAGCATGTTGAGACAGGGCAATAATTTCTGAGAACTGAAAAGTTATCATCGAGAAAACTAATTACCAAATGATGAATTTAAATAGCGGAAAACGCCAAAGTACTTCCTGAAGATGAAGAAATGATCGTCGCACTGAACGCAACTTTGTATGCAATTGCGTAAAGAAGCTGAAAAAAAAAAAATTCAGGACTTGAATTCCTGAATTTTTTTCAGGCTTCTTTACGCAATTGCATAAATTGCGTTCACCGCGACGATCATTTCTTCATCTTCATTTCATTTCCGCAGTTCATATATGATTTATTTCATATATCATTAACAAAGTACTTCCTGCCATCCGCAAAGTCAAGCTCTCCCAAACTGGATTTTAGTACCATATACGTACAACGTACATCAAATACGATGCAACGTGTTTGCCCGGAGTATGATTTTCTCTATACGAGAATCGCAAAAGAAGTGTTGAAGTGGAACAATTTTAAGCTTAAAAAAAGCGGCACCTAGTTCAAGGAGATCATGCACAAATTTTCTCGACTTGCATGTAATCTTGAAAGTCATTCACTCCTCGTGGCATAAAAAAAATTACACTATACACAATGTATGCACCTAGCAGATCTTGGTTCCACGAGACATGAAGAACAATCGTAAACGTTTTAGTTAGTTCTTAAAACCTTGTAATTAACATATTTTCTAATGTAGACTTAATTGATATATGACAATTTCCATTAACTTTGAAGAGCACTTCTTACTGAGATAAGAATCAGTAATCTTCTTATTCAAATTTAAAAGGCTTTATGCCTGAAAGTTCAGTAATTCATTGGTTAAAAATTTCTTCACCATTACTTGAAAGACAAGATAAAATTTATCATCACCAAAAATGAGAAGCAAGCAATTTCTCTTATACTGCTTTTTTTTTCCTATGAGTTGAGACAATCAAAAAGTTAAAATGGCTGTCTCAGTTTAGAGATATTGGACTTCAGAAAGTTCAATCCTTAGTAGGTAGGAAATATATTTATAACTGGTGCCATAGTTGAAAGTAATAAATGTTTTATGGAAGCTGTAGGTTAATAGCAATTCTTTAAAAGTTTGCTATCAGCTAGCTTAAGTTTTAAAACGCTACTGCTACACAGGATTTTGATAAAATCTATGTTTTCCACGACTTTGATCGATTCTCAGATTCAAATGGCAGCTAGATATCAAAGCCTGGTGTTTACTAAGATTTCGATTCCCAAAAGTTTGGTTTAGCATGGAATGCACTCCCTAAAATTTCGGGTCATCTTTTCTTTTGCTATCGAGTCAAATGAACACAATTCTTTCTAAGGCACTGGTTTTCTAATCGCATATTCGTAAAAGTGGAATTACACTGAGACAGTTCACATGTAGCTCAACCGAAGTGTGAAAAAGGAAGCTGAACTGAATTATGAAACTGTATATTGAACCATAGACAGCTAACAGAGTTAAAAGTTCTTACACTTGACATACGCTCGACATGCAATAATTATTTTGAGACAAAGAAAATAGCATGCAGTATGCACTTTTACAAGCTAATATAATATTTATGTTTTATCAATTTGCAGAATGAATTATTATCTAAAATGAACAAATAAAAAGCTTTTTCATTGAATTCTAAAATCATCCAAAAAGGAAGAAATAAATGAATTTTTCAAAAAAATAAGTTGTCATAGGAGATGGTGTAATTCAGTGTTGAATATACAAAAAAAACGGATATTCAACATGAGGAACTTCTGCTCTAATTTTTAACCAACATTAATCAATTTCAAAAGAATGAGTGGTGATATTAATCATCAAAAAGTCTTGAAGGAAATGTACACTTCCTAAGCTCCTTATCACAATACTGCGGACTCATTTTTAAGTTCCTGTCCTTCTCAAGTTTGTGGAAGCTTAACTTCTGCTATGGAAAAATCGGCAAAACTATCATAGCTGCTAAATAATATTTATAATAATCATAAAATCTAAGTGATTTAATCAGTTTCTATAGTCACGGGTGAGTTTCTAAGAAACAATTTACTTTGCTGGATTAATAAGAAAAAATCGCAGCGCTAATTGAGATTTTTAGCGCTCTCGAAGAGAATAAATTAAACAAAGGAAGTTTTATCCCAAAGCACACGAAATTTAACAAGATGCTTTCCCCTTAAGATTGGTTTTGTTCTGTTTCTAGTTAGCAGATCGAATGACATTTTTACACTGAGTGCCTGTCCATTGTTCATCCAAAACCATACAGGCAATCTCTCATGATTTGAATATTTAATCATTTTAAAAATCTTTATCCATCATTTTCTATAAAACTGAAAAATGTTGCCGGAGGTAATGAGCGCATGTCAAAGTTTTAGACGAAATTGGAGACCTCTTACGCGGGTTTCAAGAATATTCAACAATGGTAGATATTGAATTAGACTGGACAAAGAAAAACTTGAAATTATAAATGATATTTCTTCTCTTTCTTACCTTATCCGACGGCAGGAGAGCTTGGTTTATAGTCCCTATGACAGGTAGCTTAAAATACGACGCTAAATGGCCCACAAATCTTGCCAGTTTTTCTTTCCTCGATTGCAGTATTAATACCGTTACATTATCCTGCAAAACGCTGGAGCAAAACTTTCTTGAAATCTCCTCGTACGTTAAACCATGAACGGACAGGATTTTTATTTGTAGAGATGTCTTGGTCAAACTTGTATTGCGGTTGAGGCCATCAACATCTACTAGGATATTTTCCACTGAAGTTTCTTCGAGATTTCTGCGAACCGAAAACAAACCAACTTTCACATTTGTGTGGTGTAGTTGACTCTCAATCGATATAAGCAAATGGCACGTCCAAAATATAAGAAGAAACCTTTTGTAAGTCTCTCTGTGACTGAAGTATTTCATTGGTGTAAGATTCTCAGTTTATGCCTCCAGAACCTCTGGCACATTGAATAAACGACATCCTCACACGCATGCTCAAAACTGACCGTCGTTTCCCACCAATATGACTTTGGGTCCTCTCCTTAATATATGCACTCAAATCCTGCCTACCGCTGCAAAGAGCTTCAAGGAATCTCTGCAAAAAAATTGGAATTAATCTGCGCAGCTGTTACTAATTCATCAACGTTTGTACAACAATATGGTATGTATATGGTAAAACAATATTAATAACGAATTTGATACATGCATATATCTCAGCTCAAGCTAATCTGTTGCATAAGAAGGAAATGGAAATACCATACTGTAAGCTCGTGTATGGCTTTCATTTATGGCAAAGATTGTTGTTTTGTTTTGAGGTAAAAGTCAAGCCATATTAACTATGAGGAAAAACTATTATTATAGTAGTAACAACAAGAACCTAGAAAAGGTAATGAAAAATTAATTTAGCGGCGCATAAGTCAACGACAGGCATTCAATTCAAAATAAGGGAAAAGAGCAAATATTTGAAAGTTCCACTAAACACCAAGTGTAATATTGTTTCGGTGTCTTTCTGACGTAGAAAATAAAATTACGCAAAGATTAAGCGCTGTGCTTTTTCTTTGTGCTAAGTTTATAGCACGTTAACTTTAATTTTAAATTAGCTGGAAATTAATTTGAAGTAGGCAAAGTATGATTCGGTTTTATATCTGTTTACAGAGCTTATTTCTGGCAGTGTGGATATGGGCAAAGCTACCAGCATGCAAAAGGCTTTTCTCTGACATAGGGATGACGATTTTTTTTCTTTTTCAGTTGAAGCGGGTATTATAATTATACACCACTTAAATTAAAGGCAGTTAAGTAAAAACAGCACGTTTTGCAGATTTGTAATTAGTACACAAATTCTCCGAAGGAAGAATTGAGCACCCGGCGGCCCGCTCATAAATTCAAATTAGAAACCATAGCAAAACCACATGAATTTAACTTAATATTGTGTAAAAAGGCAATTTCTTTTAGTATCAGTTTTCTTTTATTTCCAGCAACTTGATTTTCTAAATTTCGTCGAGTGTCTTTGTTAAACTGCGGATATATAAATTAAAAATTTCATATCTGAGGAACTGCTCTAGGTCCTAATAAGTTTTCTGATATGATTTTATTTTTCTGCTTTCAGAACGAGAAAAGCAGTTTTAAAAGATTCTTTATTTCACTGATTTTTATCCTGACTGCGGTCTCAAAAAGTTTGATTCATATTTTTCGCCCAATAAACATATATTTTTTGGTTCATTTCTCTTCATCCTTTTGGCCGTCCCTACTTACCCTAGATTATATGACAAAAAAATCTAATAACAAATAGGAAACTATCATATTATCTGACGATTCACGTATTGAAAAGAATTGAAATTTTTTCTGAAATAAAAGCGTTTAAAATTGTTTCTATAGCTGAAAAACTTGGCAATGGTAATCAAATTTTAAATATTCTGCTGTTGAATGAACAAAGAAATCAGCTTTCCTGCGGTTTTGTTGTATACCAGCTGACTAATTAAAAATCGAGGTCCATAACACAACTTTTCCACCTTCCTTTTTCCTTTTCTCTATAATTTTTTATTCTTCCGGGCTTTATTTGATATACTTATGAGTTAAGCACAGGTGATTTGAGACTGCATGAACTTTGTCAACTCTGTTTGAAATGGATTCTTCACTTATCAAAGCGAAAAACAAAAACCCTCAGCAAGAGTTCTTCCTTATCCACTGGAAATTAGCCACATTACAACTTCATTCAGAAAAAAATAAGGTTTTTCATTATCTTTGAGTGCCAAAAGAACAGAACAAAAATAAACAACTTAGTAGCTTAATTTTCCCCGCGTATGTTTTTGGGGTCATTTCTTGAACTGAATCCTGAGATAACTTTGTTGCTATGAATACACCTGGCAATCCACAGCGTGCTAGATTCGTTTAAAAATAAACTCTGTAATTTCCCAAGATACTTAACGTCATGTTACCTGCACATAGACACTCTGCTTTGTCCTGAGTCTATTTCAATGAATTCTTTTCAGTTTTCCAAATATTATATGTGTATTTTTTGAAATAAAAGCGAAATTCAAACCAAGTTCATCCATTAATTTCAACAGAAGTGTAGATGATATTCTTTCGAGAAATAATTGAAAATTCATCACCTCGAGGAGGTAGTGGTTATGTAGTAATTTGTTAAGTACTAAAATCGCGACAAGCGATTATGAGTTTGTCACAAGTCATCAATGAAGAGACGCAAATTACGTAAACATGGATGTTTTTGATTGAAATGATTTTACTGGCAGGTTGCAAGCAAGATTTGGGTGATAATCAAATCTCTTGGATAGAATGGATTCATAAATTACCTTTTAAAATGTTTGACACAATCCCCCTGTATTTTATTGACTTCTCTCGGCAGAGAAGACTAAAATATCTAAGTTTCAGTAAGCAACATGGAATAATATTCTTCTTTTCATAAAAACTACCGACCAATCACTCTAACTTTAAATGTGCTTGAGGCTCTGATAGCATTTTTTTGGACCCTGGTGTCAAAGCAGTCCGTAAGACGAAAGTGTAATGAACTAAATATATCCTCTCTTATTCAGATTTTAATGTTATTACTTAATTAATTTTTTTTTTTTTAACAGTTGGTGTGATATCTAACAATCTTTATCGACTTAATAAAGTGTACATGCAGATCAGAGTAGGCATGGCCTCCTAAACTCTCACGCTCAATTCGCTGATGAGAACGAAACATCTTCAACAGCCTTTCAAAAACTCATTAATAATTCATTTAAAAAACCAAATTAATGTTTGATAAGTGTCGTTACGTCCAATTTCTAAATATTAGTGCAAGAATGAGTTGATCGGTATCAGAAATTTTCAAGCCGTTCAAAAAACTCTTAGTCGTGTATAATACACTCCTGCTCGTTTTTTAAACAGTACTTAAAGGCACATGGGCGGAATCGAGGCAGATTATTCTCAGAAACGTGTAATTTATCGTGTCCACTCTGACTATCAAAGAAAACATTCTTAAATATCCAAAAAAAATTGAATCTTTCACTTTCCCAAACTGGCATCAATCACGCGCATGCCCTATGCCTGACTAGGTTCATTTTTGGAGCTTCTCCTGAATACCGCTAACATCAGAAAACTTACATGCGTGCTGATAAAAATTATAAAACAATGTGCAAGGACATCTCAGTTTATCGATCACCTGTTGGTGAGAGAACGTTCCTTGAGTCAATATCCGAAAAAAGTTTACATGTGTCCAGTGAGTCCTTTTTTTGTTCAGCTTGTTTGATTAAAATTGAAGGCAAAACTGATCGAACCGCTAAGGATTGGTAACTTATGATTCATAATTTTGTTTAATCAGCCTGATTGAAAAAAGCTGGCACCTTGATCGCTAACCTCGATATTTAAACAGAGCAAGGTCCTTGGCAATGTCATCAAGTGGGAATCGTTCATTCCTGGTAAGAAATGCGGAAATTATTATTATCGTTTTACCTTCCTCGAATTCAAATGTACTCAAAAGAATTACCCATAGATCAGTAAGATAAGCCTCGTGATACGAAGCGGGTACTATAACTAAAGGATCTAAGAACTGAAAAATATCGCCCTGAGGTTCTTTCATGACGTTGTACATGGATAGCTATCCGTAAATGTAAACCATTGTGAACAAGACAACACCCTTTAGCTGCCGGAGGCTGCTTGGAGATTAGATAAGAAATGAGTAGGAGATAAATTCTTTTAAGAAATTACCTTAATAGGAGCCAGTTTGTAGGCATAGGTTACACAGTAACTACTGACTGCCTTATGGTACATTGAATGGTCAGACTAAACTTTTAAAATTGGAAAAAGATTATATTTCAATCGTTACAGTTTATAAATCTAAAGTGAAAAATTCCAATGTTTTCTAGGCTATAATGCTGTATTTCAACAATCTTCCGCAATCAAAGGCAATACCACGAGGCAGAAATCGACACCTTGCAAATCTATGACATCAAGGAAACATCAATGAAGACGTTAGTGTGAAAAATAATACACATTTCCCAAACTAGAGATATTCGAAAATAAATAGACCAGTTCAATTTGTAGACTAGTAGTTTTCATTGGCCTGATGAAGTGTTGCAAGTAGAGTGCGTGACGGTCAAGTACAAAGCTACCATTATAAACATATCCATGACACCATAGTTAGTAAAGGAAACTGGTTATGAAAGCCGTCAAACATCAAAGTTGAAAACAATGGTGCTGTAGTTTGTGTTGGAAGCTTCCTGACCGTGCAAAATCCCGCGTTTTTTATCACAAATTGTGAATGAATAGAATAGTATAAGATGGAATAATCTATTTAATGTCGAATACGTAGGAATTGTTTGCCAGAGGCTCATGTTAAAAACGCTCGACAAACTAAAAATACAAAACAAGTTAAAATGTGAATTATGCATATAAAAATATAAAAAACCTAAACTATTAAGTACATCGTAATTTTGGGAAAATTTTTTGAGAAACTATTTTTTTGACGAAAAAAAACTAAAAAACCTAGGTACATGCAATTAAAAATAGTTTAAAATGGACTAATCTTTATAACAATTATTCCACGAGTGCGCGTTGGAGATGAGATGGTAGGAAGCTACCTACGCGCCTCGTTGGCTATAATCCTCTCATATCCAACAAGCGCGAGTGGAATAATTGTTTCATTAAAAACGCCCACAAAATATCCAGAATTCTTCCCGACTTCATTTGTGAAAAAAACCAATTTTCAGCTTGTTTTTAATTTTGAGCACACGCATACACTTTCCATATTTGGAGAGCATGGTATAATGGCTCATACACCATGATGGCTAAGCCAATCAGAGCTCTAGAATTGCATTATCCAATGATTTAGTTTTATTAAATACAGTTCATACACTGGCACCCTGTAAATTAACATTATTCAGGCGAGCATAGGCGTACGGGCCGGGGGGACGAGGGGGGCTGCA